ATTAAAACTTTTCGAGTGCTATCATCAATGGCTGAAGTTGCGTCAACTAACGGTTATCTCAATTAATTGAACAGTGAAATGCACTTTTGTACTCGATTTCCTTTGATATCAGCATGCAAGCACAATTTTCCAGTGGAGTGTAGCAAAACGAATCGGGCGTTATCTATTATCTAAGAACTTTATTGAATTGTTAACACCAAACATAACTAACACTGGGCAGACCGTAATATTATTCCTTGTCGTTGGCCAACAGCCATCTTTCCATAGCCGGAATATTTTTGTCGGTCCACTCGATTTCCACTTTGATGTTTCGCAAAGATTTTTCGACGATAAAGTCCGCATTGCCGAATTCCGACTGTCTTTTCCGGTACAATTGGGACACCAGCTCCAAGCCAGTATGGCTCTTGAAGCTGCCGGTTGCTGATGCAACGATGCTGTTCCAGAGCATGGGCTTGTCTGCAAAGCTGCCGGAAAATTCTTATTTGGTTGACTCGATATCTGGAGGAAACCTACTTTTTTTTTATCTCGTCCCAGTTGCTAACGAGGTAGTCGAATAGAGTGTTGTATCCACTGGAGCTTCCCGCCAGCATGCTCAAGATGAGGTAGAGGTCGCTGTCGCTGAAGTTTCCGTCTCGCTGCAGCAGTGTGAGGTTTAGAAGATACTCTATCTTCCCGGAGTAACGCGGGCAGCCTGCCAACGTTTTCAGCAGATAAGTTCTCTCGCTTCGTTTGCGGGTTTTAGGAAAGTTGATGAACCGTTCCAGGCCGAACAACCATTCTGTGAACATGCGCCACTTGAAGACCGGGCAAATGTATTGGTTGGCCACTCTAAGAGAATTAAACAAGGTCCTAAAGTGGTGAATTTGTTCGTCTCCTGGAGGTTGGGGGTGGAAAGACTCACGGATTTCCTTCGTCCGGATTCTCACTTTCCATCCATTTGTGAAACTCCTTGTTCGCCTCGTCGATGCAGGGCTCGTAGCCGGCCTGGCACAGAAAGATCTTCGCAGTGTTGCGCAGGTGGGTCGTGCCCTCGCTCTCTCCAGGCTGCGGCACTTCTCCGAGGTCTTCATAGAGAGGAGTGAGCAACATTTTAACGTAATACTGAAATCGCTTTCCTGCTAAACGTAGTCGATTATACGAACAAGTTGCGCTCACCTCGAACTGACGGCAAACCAACAAGTCGTCGATGTGCTTTCCAATGTGGTCGATCATTGTGAAGACTGGATCCCAGGCCAAGTAGTCACGTTCGTTTCGCAGGAAGAGCGTCATGTTAAGTGCGATGGTAATGTTCAAATCGCCCGCATATGCCAGATTCCAGGCATCGTGCAACAGCTTGGCCCTCGTGTATACTGGGATTTTCGTTCTTTCGTCTGTTTGCAGGAACTCGACCAGAAGTTTCCAGTTTTCGGCATCGTAATTGACGGGAAATGGGCCTGGCAAGGAGCGAACAATACCCTAATAATCAGCGTCTAGTTTGCGCGCAGAGACCCACCAATTTCCTCCGGATTGACGATGATGAAGTGTTTCTCATCGGGTAGATTGGCTATTTCAATTTCCCGTTCCTTCATCATCCAAACCATAGGGGTGGTGTTGTGAAAGTTCATCCGGTCTTGCCGCACCAACACAATGGGGATCGACCACAAAAATCTGTCTTGGTCCGGAACATCATGGGGTCGTTCCCGCAAATAAAGCCTCTGCGAAAATAGTAAAATTTGCTGCACTGTTAAAAGTGGGTTGACAATTCAGTTACTTTTCAGTCAGTTTTGTAACTGAAAATTCAGTGTTTGGTTGTTGAAAAAAATTCATGCACATTGTGATTGAATTTTCAGTATTCTTATTGAAAATCCAAAATTCAATAACA